AGTAGTGTATAGTGTAGTAGTGTATAGTGTAGTAGTGTATAGTGTAGTAGTGTATAGTGTAGTAGTGCATAGTGTAGTGTAGTAGTGTAAAGTGTAGTAGTGTATAGTGTAGTAGTGTATAGTGTAGTAGTGTATAGTGTAGTAGTGTATAGTGTAGTAGTGTATAGTGTAGTAGTGTATAGTGCATAGTGTAGTAGTGTATAGTGTAGTGTAGTAGTGTATAGCGTAGTGTAGTAGTGTAGTAGTGTATAGTGTAGTGTAGTAGTGTATAGTGTAGTGTAGTAGTGTATAGTGTAGTAGTGTATAGTGTAGTAGTGCATAGTGTAGTGTAGTAGTGTATAGTGTAGTGTAGTAGTGTATAGTGTAGTAGTGTATAGTGTAGTAGTGTATAGTGTAGTGTAGTAGTGTATAGTGTAGTGTATAATGTAGTAGTGTATAGTGCAGTAGTGTATAGTGTAGTAGTGTATAGTGTAGTGTAGTAGTGTATAGTGTAGTGTATAATGTAGTAGTGTATAGTGTAGTAGTGTATAGTGTAGTGTTAGTAGTGTATAGTGTAGTGTTAGTAGTGTATAGTGTAGTAGTGTATAGTGTGTAGTGTATAGTGTAGTAGTGTGTAGTGTAGTGTATAGTGTAGTAGTGTATAGTGTAGTGTTAGTAGTGTATAGTGTAGTAGTGTATAGTGTAGTAGTGTATAGTGTAGTGTATAGTGTAGTAGTGTATAGGGTAGTAGTGTAGTAGTGTAGTAGTGCATAGTGTAGTGTAGTAGTGTAGTAGTGTATAGTGTAGTGTAGTAGTGTATAGTGTAGTGTAGTAGTGTATAGTGTAGTGTAGTAGTGTATAGTGTAGTAGTGCATAGTGTAGTGTAGCAGTGTATAGTGGAGTGTAGTAGTGTATAGTGTAGTAGTGTATAGTGTAGTAGTGTATAATGTAGTAGTGTATAGTGTAGTGTATAGTGTAGTAGTATATAGTGTAGTGTAGTAGTGTAGTAGTGTATAGTGTAGTAGTGTATAGTGTAGTAGTGTAAAGTGTAATGTATTGTGTAGTAGTGTAAAGTGTAATGTGTTGTGTAGTAGTGTATAGTGTAGTAGTGTATAATGTAGTAGTGTATAGTGTAGTAGTGTATAGTGTAGTATAGTAGTGTATAGTGTAGTAGTGTATAGTGTAGTAGTGTATAGTGTAGTAGTGTAAAGTGTAGTGTGTTGTGTAGTAGTGTAGTAGTGTATAGTGTAGTGTATAGTGTAGTAGTGTATAGTGTAGTAGTGTACAGTGTAGTGTAGTAGTGTATAGTGTAGTAGTGTATAGGGTAGTGTATAATGTAGTAGTGTACAGTGTATAGTGTAGTGTATAGTGTATTGTACAGTGTAGTGTATAGTGTAGTGTATAGTGTAGTAGTGTAGTAGTGTATAGTGTAGTAGTGTATAGTGTAGCAGTGTATAGTGTAGCAGTGTATAGTGTAGTAGTGTATAGTGTAGTAGTGTATAGTGTAGTAGTGTATAGTGTAGTGTAGCAGTGTATAGTGTAGTAGTGTATAGTGTTGTAGTGTATAGTGTAGTGTAGTAGTGTATAGTGTAGTAGTGTATAGTGTAGTAGTGTATAGTGTAGTAGTGTATAGTGTAGCAGTGTATAGTGTAGCAGTGTATAGTGTAGTAGTGTATAGTGTAGTAGTGTATAGTGTAGTAGTGTATAGTGTAGTAGTGTATAGTGTAGTGTAGACACTCACACTCAGACACTCATACTCACTCACACTTAGACAGTCACGCTCAGACACTCACACACACTCAGCCACTCACACTCAGAGACTCACACTCAGACACACACTCAAGACACTCACACTCAGACACTCACAGACACTCACACTCAGACACTCACAATCAGACACTCACACTCAGACACTCACACTCAGACACTCACACACACTCAGACACTCACTCATTCACACTCACTCAAGACACTCACACTCAGACACTCACACACACTCAGACACTCACACATTCACACTCACAGACACTCACACTTCACTCACTCACACACACACTCAGACACTCACACATTCACACTCACAGACACTCACACTTCACTCACTCACACACACACTCAGACACTCACACACACTCAGACACTCACACATTCACACTCACAGACACTCACACTTCACTCACTCACACACACACTCAGACACTCACACACACTCAGACACTCACACATTCACACTCACTCAAGACACTCACACTCAGACACTCACACACACTCAGACACTCACACATTCACACTCACAGACACTCACACTTCACTCACTCACACACACACTCAGACACACACTCAGACACTCACACACACTCAGACACTCACACATTCACACTCACAGACACTCACACTTCACTCACTCACACACTCACACACACTCAGACACTCACACATTCACACTCACTCAAGACACTCACACTCAGACACTCACACACACTCAGACACTCTCACAGACACTCACTCACAGACAATCACACTTCACTCACTCACACACACACTCAGACACTCACACGCAGACACTCACTCACTGAAACTCTCAGACACTCACACTCAGACACTCACTCACACTTAGACACTCACTTACACTCAGACACTCACACTCAGACACACACACTCACTCACACACTCACACACACTCAGACACTCACACTCACACTCTCAGACACTCACACTCTCAGACACTCACACTCAGATACTCACACATTCACACTCAGACACTCACTCACACTCACACACACTCAGACACTCACACTCAGACACTCACACACAGACACTCACACACACTCAGACACTCACACAAGACACACACACACAGACAAAGATCCCCCGTGTAGTCTTAACAGACTGTAGGGGCAAGTGCTGTTAGCGAGCACCTATGAAGGCCGGAACGGTACACGAGGGGGTGGGTGGCCAGCACCACGCCCGACCGCCTTTGTCTCCCCAGTGACGATGTTTACACACCGCACCAGGTAACTCATTTGAGGCTGAGTCGACCTAGGGGAGGCCCGGGACCGGTTCAGATAATCGTCACTGGTGTTGGCTGTGAACGGGAATCGAACCCGGGTCGCCAGGTTCATAGCGCAGCTCAGCGCTAACCACTACACTACCGCTCCCCACACTCACACTCAGACACACACACAGTGACACACACAGACACACTCACACTCACACACACTCAAGACACTCAGACACTCACACTCAGACACACACACTCAGACACTCACACGCAGACACTCACACACACTCAAGACACTCAGACACTCACATCCACCCACCCCACCCACACAGCGAGTTGAGAGATACAAAAATAATCCACGAGAGACATTTTGAGTGTCGCGTTGTTGTTGTAGTTTATTAATGTTGTAGTTTATTAATGTTGTGGTTGTGTATTAATGTTGTTGTTGTGGTTGTTGTTGTGTATTAATGTTGTTGTTGTGGTTGTTGTTGTTGTGTATTAATGTTGTTGTTGTGGTTGCTGTTTATTAATGTTGTTGTGTATTAATGGTCGAGCTTCGGGGAGCGTTGTTACATTCGCATTGTAAAAAACACTCACACACAGTCACACAGTCATACACACAGTCAGTCACACAGTCATACAGTCACACACACAGACACACACACACAGTCACACAGTCACACACACAGACACACACAGACACACACAGTCACACACACAGACACACACACACACAGATACACAGACACACACAGTCACACACACAGACACACACACAGACACACACACAGATACACACACACACACAGACACACACACACAGACACAGTCACACACACAGACACACACACACAGACACACACACAGACACCCACACAGACACCCACACAGTGATACACACACAGACACACACAGACACACACACACAGACACACACAGTGACACACACACACACAGACACACACACACAGACACACACAGTGACACACACACACACACACAGACACACACACACACACAGTGACACACACACACAGACACACACACACAGTGACACACACACACACAGACACACACACAGTCACACACACAGTGACACACACACACACACAGTCACACACACAGACACACACACACAGACACACACAGTGACACACACAGTGACACACACAGTGACACACACAGACACACAGACATAGACACACACACAGTCACACACACACACACAGACACACACACACAGTGACACACACAGTGACACACACAGTGACACACACAGTGACACACATAGACACACACACAGTCACACAGTCACACACACACACACACAGACACACACACAGACACACACAGGTGCATGAGGAGGAGGTCACATGACAGACCCTGCAGGTGCTATGGGTTGGCTGACCGAGATGAGTGGTAGATGTAACACCATCACCATCACCACCATCACCACCATCACTACCATCACCATCATCACCATCACCACCATCACCACCATCACCACCATCACTACCATCACCATCATCACCACCATCACCATCACCACCATCACCATCACCACCACCATCACCATCACCACCATCACCACCATCACTACCATCACCATCATCACCATCACCACCATCACCACCATCACCACCATCACTACCATCACCATCACCACCACCATCACCATCACCACCATCACCACCATCATCACCACCATCACCACCACCATCACCACCATCACCACCATCACCACCACCATCACCACCACCACCACCATCACCACCACCACCACCATCACCACCATCACCATCATCACCATCACCACCATCACCACCACCATCACCACCATCACCATCATGACCACCATCACCACCATCACCACCACCATCACCATCACCACCATCACCACCATCACCACCATCACCATCACCACCATCACCATCACCACCACCATCACCACCACCATCACCATCACCACCACCACCATCACCACCACCACCACCATCACCACCATCACCATCATCACCATCACCACCATCACCACCACCATCACCACCATCACCACCATCACCACCACCATCACCACCACCATCACCACCACCATCACCATCACCACCAGCAGCACCTGTAGCTGTAGCCTCCTTACTGTGCCAGGCCTGCCGCATTTCACACAGACACACACACACACAGACACACACACACACACAGACACACACACACAGACACACACACACACACACAGACACACGCACACAGACACACACACAGACACACACACACAGACACACACACACAGACACACACACACACAGACACACACACACAGACACACACACACACACACAGACACACACACACAGACACACACATACAGATACACACACACACACAGACCCACACACAGACACAGACAGACACACACACACACAGACAGACACACACACAGACACACACAGACACACACACACAGACACACACAGACACACCCACACACACGAGTTAGCGTTGCCTTACCAAGCTACAATTCTCCACATCTGTATTGATGCCCGAACCTGTGTGAGGTGATAGTGGTGAATGTGGACTCACTAATTCACTACAGCTGGTGGTGGTACTGAATGTGGACTCACTAATTCACTACAGCTGGTGGTGGTACTGAATGTGGACTCACTAATTCACTACAGCTGGTGGTAGTGAATGTGACCTCACTAATTCACTGCTGGTGGTGGTGAATGTGGACTCACTAATTCACTACAGCTGGTGGTGGTACTGAATGTGGACTCACTAATTCACTACAGCTGGTGGTGGTGAATGTGGACTCACTCATTCACTACAGCTGCTGGTCATAGTCAATGTGGACTCACTAATTCACTACAGCTGGTGGTGGTGAATGTGGACTCACTAATTCACTACAGCTGCTGGTGGTAGTGAATGTGGACTCACTAATTCACTACAGCTGCTGGTGGTGGTGAATGTGGACTCACTAATTCACTACAGCTGCTGGTCATAGTCAATGTGGACTCACTAATTCACTACAGCTGGTGGTGGTGAATGTGGACTCACTAATTCACTACAGCTGCTGGTCATAGTCAATGTGGACTCACTAATTCACTACAGCTGGTGGTAGTGAATGTGGACTCACTAATTCACTACAGCTGGTGGTAGTGAATAGTGACCTCACTAATTCACTACAGCTGGTGGTGGTGAATGTGGACTCACTCATTCACTACAGCTGCTGGTGGTAGTGAATGTGACCTCACTAATTCACTACAGCTGGTGGTGGTAGTGAATGTGGACTCACTAATTCACTACTACTGCTGCTGCTGGTGGTGAATGTGTACTCACTAATTCACTACAGCTGGTGGTAGTGAATGTGGACTCACTAATTCACTACAGCTGCTGGTGGTAGTGAATGTGGACTCACTAATTCACTACAGCTGCTGGTGGTGGTGAATGTGGACTCACTAATTCACTACAGCTGGTGGTGGTAGTGAATGTGGACTCACTAATTCACTACAGCTGCTGGTGGTAGTGAATGTGGACTCACTCATTCACTACAGCTGGTGGTGGTAGTGAATGTGGACTCACTAATTCACTACAGCTGCTGGTGGTAGTGAATGTGGACTCACTAATTCACTACAGCTGCTGGTGGTAGTGAATGTGGACTCACTCATTCACTACAGCTGGTGGTGGTAGTGAATGTGGACTCACTCATTCACTACAGCTGCTGGTGGTAGTGAATGTGGACTCACTAATTCACTACAGCTGGTGGTGGTGATAGTGAATGTGGACTCACTAATTCACTACAGCTGGTGGTGGTGAATGTGCACTCACTCACTCACTACAGCTGCTGGTGGTAGTGAATGTGGACACACTAATTCACTGGTGAATGTGAATGTGTACTCACTAATTCACTACTGCTGGTGGTGGTAGTGAATGTGGACACACTAATTCACTACAGCTGGTGGTGGTAGTGAATGTGGACTCACTAATTCACTACAGCTGGTGGTGGTGAATGTGGACTCACTAATTCACTGCTGGTGGTGAATGTGGACTCACTAATTCACTACAGCTGGTGGTGGTAGTGAATGTGGACTCATTCATTCACTACAGCTGGTGGTGGTGAATGTGGACTCACTAATTCACTACAGCTGGTGGTGAATGTGGACCCACCAATTCACTACAGCTGGTGGTGGTAGTGAATGTGGACTCACTAATTCACTACAGCTGCTGGTGGTGGTGAATGTGGACTCACTAATTCACTACAGCTAGTGGTGGTAGTGAATGTGGACTCACTAATTCACTACAGCTGGTGGTAGTGAATGTGACCTCACTAATTCACTACAGCTGGTGGTAGTGAATGTGGACTCACTAATTCACTACAGCTGGTGGTAGTGAATGTGGACTCACTAATTCACTACAGCTGGTGGTGGTACTGAATGTGGACTCACTCATTCACTACAGCTGCTGGTGGTAGTGAATGTGGACTCACTAATTCACTACAGCTGGTGGTGGTAGTGAATGTGGACTCACTAATTCACTACAGCTGCTGGTGGTAGTGAATGTGGACTCACTAATTCACTACAGCTGGTGGTAGTAGTGAATGTGGACTCACTAATTCACTACAGCTGCTGGTGGTAGTGAATGTGGACTCACTAATTCACTACAGCTGGTGGTAGTGAATGTGGACTCACTCATTCACTACAGCTGGTGGTGGTAGTGAATGTGGACTCACTAATTCACTACAGCTGCTGGTGGTAGTGAATGTGGACTCACTAATTCACTACAGCTGCTGGTGGTAGTGAATGTGGACTCACTCATTCACTACAGCTGGTGGTGGTAGTGAATGTGGACTCACTCATTCACTACAGCTGCTGGTGGTAGTGAATGTGGACTCACTAATTCACTACAGCTGGTGGTGGTGATAGTGAATGTGGACTCACTAATTCACTACAGCTGGTGGTGGTGAATGTGCACTCACTCACTCACTACAGCTGCTGGTGGTAGTGAATGTGGACACACTAATTCACTGGTGAATGTGAATGTGTACTCACTAATTCACTACTGCTGGTGGTGGTAGTGAATGTGGACACACTAATTCACTACAGCTGGTGGTGGTAGTGAATGTGGACTCACTAATTCACTACAGCTGGTGGTGGTGAATGTGGACTCACTAATTCACTGCTGGTGGTGAATGTGGACTCACTAATTCACTACAGCTGGTGGTGGTAGTGAATGTGGACTCATTCATTCACTACAGCTGGTGGTGGTGAATGTGGACTCACTAATTCACTACAGCTGGTGGTGAATGTGGACCCACCAATTCACTACAGCTGGTGGTGGTAGTGAATGTGGACTCACTAATTCACTACAGCTGCTGGTGGTGGTGAATGTGGACTCACTAATTCACTACAGCTAGTGGTGGTAGTGAATGTGGACTCACTAATTCACTACAGCTGGTGGTAGTGAATGTGACCTCACTAATTCACTACAGCTGGTGGTAGTGAATGTGGACTCACTAATTCACTACAGCTGGTGGTAGTGAATGTGGACTCACTAATTCACTACAGCTGGTGGTGGTACTGAATGTGGACTCACTCATTCACTACAGCTGCTGGTGGTAGTGAATGTGGACTCACTAATTCACTACAGCTGGTGGTGGTAGTGAATGTGGACTCACTAATTCACTACAGCTGCTGGTGGTAGTGAATGTGGACTCACTAATTCACTACAGCTGGTGGTAGTAGTGAATGTGGACTCACTAATTCACTACAGCTGCTGGTGGTAGTGAATGTGGACTCACTAATTCACTACAGCTGGTGGTGGATGTGAATGTGGACTCACTAATTCACTACAGCTGGTGGTGGTAGTGAATGTGGACTCACTAATTCACTACAGCTGGTGGTGGATGTGAATGTGGACTCACTAATTCACTACTACTACTGCTGGTGGTAGTGAATGTGACCTCACTAATTCACTACAGCTGGTGGTAGTGAATGTGGACTCACTAATTCACTACAGCTGCTGGTGGTGAATGTGGACTCACTAATTCACTACTGCTGGTGGTAGTGAATGTGGACTCACTAATTCACTACGGCTGGTGGTGGTAGTGAATGTGGACTCACTAATTCACTACAGCTGCTGGTGGTAGTGAATGTGGACTCACTCATTCACTACAGCTGGTGGTGGTAGTGAATGTGGACTCACTCATTCACTACAGCTGCTGGTGGTAGTGAATGTGGACTCACTCATTCACTACAGCTGGTGGTGGTAGTGAATGTGGACTCACTAATTCACTACAGCTGGTGGTGGTAGTGAATGTGGACTCACTAATTCACTACAGCTGGTGGTGGTAGTGAATGTGGACTCACTAATTCACTACAGCTGCTGGTGGTAGTGAATGTGGACTCACTAATTCACTACTGCTGGTGGTGAATGTGAATGTGGACTCACTAATTCACTACAGCTGGTGGTAGTGAATGTGGACTCACTAATTCACTACTGCTGGTGGTAGTGAATGTGACCTCACTAATTCACTGCTGGTGGTGATGAATGTGGACTCACTAATTCACTACTGCTGGTGGTAGTGAATGTGGACTCACTAATTCACTACAGCTGGTGGTAGTGAATGTGGACTCACTAATTCACTACAGCTGCTGGTGGTAGTGAATGTGGACTCACTAATTCACTACAGCTGGTGGTGGTGGTGAATGTGGACTCACTAATTCACTACAGCTGCTGGTGGTAGTGAATGTGGACTCACTAATTCACTACAGCTGGTGGTGGTGAATGTGAATGTGGACTCACTAATTCACTACAGCTGGTGGTGGTAGTGAATGTGGACTCACTAATTCACTACTGCTGGTGGTGGTGAATGTGAATGTGGACTCACTAATTCACTACAGCTGGTGGTGGTAGTGAGTGTGGACTCACTAATTCACTACAGCTGGTGGTGGTAGTGAATGTGGACTCACTAATTCACTACAGCTGGTGGTGGTGAATGTGGACTCACTCATTCACTACAGCTGGTGGTGGTAGTGAATGTGGACTCGTTCACTACAGCTGGTGGTGGTGAATGTGGACTCACTAATTCACTACAGCTGCTGGTGGTAGTGAATGTGGACTCACTAATTCACTACAGCTGCTGGTGGTAGTGAAT